GTGTGTGTGTGTGTGTGTGTGTGTGTGTGTGTGTGTGTGTGTGTGTGCTTGTTTGTGTTACTTTGTGAGGCCCATTTTTCAACACATACTACACTGTGAGGACCAACTGCTACTGGTGGTGACCAAAGCCCAGTCCCCATAAATACAAGTGCCATTGGTGGGTTAGGTTTAGGATTTGGTATATACTGGCAATGGTTATGTTTAGGGTTAGGTATGTACTGGTAATGATTAGGTTTAGGGTTAGGTATGTACTGGTAATTGTTAGGTTTAGGGTTTGGTATGTACTTGTAATGAATAGGTTTAGGGTTTGGTATGTACTGGTAATGGTTAGGTCTGTACTGGCAATGACTAGGTTTACGGTTTGGTATGTTCTGGTAATGGTTAGGTTTAGGGTTTGGTATGCATTTGTAATGGTTAGGTTTAGGTATGTACTGGTAATGGTTAGGTTTAGGGTTTGTCATGTACTCGTAATGGTTAGGGTTTGGTATGTACTGGTAATGGTTAGGTTTAGGGTTTGTTATGTACGTGTAATGGTTAGGTTTAGGGTTAGGTATGTACTGGTAATGGTTAGGTCTCAGAGTATGTGTTGAAGATGAGTCTCAGCTGCTATCATTCCAAAATTTGGCTGAATATCTGTAAAATGACTAGAGTTACAACCAGTATTGGTTTGGTAAAGTTCCATTTTTTATGGTAGTCATTCTGAATTACATTGATCCTAAAAGTTAATCAATTGTAGATGCTTTTAGGGATTACTTTATAACAATTTCATTAGATTTTATACTGTGATTCATGAAATATTTTGCTGACAAGCTGAGTTGACTACAATATTTAAAGCTAAGTCTTAATCTTAGTGTGTTTGCTGTCAAGGCTGCCCAGCAACTGCCTTCTTTTTAATTTATTTAAATCTATCTGCTTTATGAGATATTTTGCTAACAGACTAACTAACACACACAGACACTTCAGGCTAGATTGTAGTTGCTATTAATTTGAGTTTTGAATTTTTGTAGGACTGGAGCTCAACATTTGAGTCACCGGTTAATCTTCAGATTAATAGTCAAACATGGAACATCACGTGCACATTTAATATTATGTGAGAGCGTGCTAAATGATTTTAAAGAGA